CTTGGTAGTTTTATTTGTGGCGTCCATAAAGGCTAGTTCGCTATCGTATCTTTCAAGTATTCGTTTTTGTCGTCGCTCTTGATGTATAGTACTGTGCTCTTGAAAAAACGTTGCGTGACGCCTGTGAAACAGACTAGGTCTAGTAGTCCTCCGCCGAGAACAACTTGCAAGAAGTCTGGATCTAATGGCCGTCGACTTCCCTTGATTCAATTCGACCGTGACCTAAACGTGACGCGAAGGTTCATGTTTTTGTTTGTCGGTGGAACTCTGCATCGTCTTTAATTTGGAGAACAATATTTGATCCCGACAGATTTCAATCTCGTGAGGCTGAAAACTACAGGACATCGTCTTTGAGGTAGGTATAGAAAGACATTTCGAGGTATTTCCAAAGTCGGTTCGGTTGGTTCGCGTGACTTTTCGCCCAAGGCATTTCGTCAATTATTGGTGTGATGATAGTTTGACGAGTTGCCCGATTTCTACACATTTTTACGAGCTCCCGATCAAAGAAATGAAGGAGGTGTAACGCGAAAACAGAAAAGAAAGTTGCTTGACATCAAGTTACTTGAAAATCGGCGACAAACTATGTTACACTTCCTGGGTTCATCAGAAATAAGTATTTTTGAGAGCTAAACATGACCAAATAACCAAAGGAGTTTGTAAACTTACGGTAGTGGTTCACGCATGGGAAATATCTCGCACCCACTTGCTTACCACACCAGAAATACATGGGTGGAAATACTAGATCGTTTCCAAAAGCTGTTAATGGAGACAAATTTCCTAGATGTTGTCTTTTTGTTTTAGAACATAGTGATCCAATTATAGTCGTATTCGGGAGATTGAGAAATTTCAAAGGGCGCCTGAGAGATTTAAACCCTAACCTGGAAACTCCCAAATGAACTTGGGGAGTTGGAATGTTTGAATCAGTTATTTAAAAAACCCCACATACCCTTGTAGCAATGGCCGCCATCTTTCAGTTTCAAATCTCTTGATCATGGACCACAAATCCCTTGATCATGGACCTCATTCATATGCAACCAACCTATTGGACCTAAGTGGCAGCAGTCTACCAGTATGTCCTCAGGGGGAGGCAATAGGTTTTAATTTCTAAATTCATACTATTATTTATCGTTAATAGATGGCTAAAAAAGGATCTGCTTCTCCACCTCCTGGTTTTGATAAGGTGGAAGAAGATACATGGGAAGCTGTAAAGACTCCCCAGCGGAAAAAACCTGTGAATGGTCATACAGGTGTTTTTGCATATCACTTTGATGACTGCATGTGTGGAATGGCTGGCTGGCCTTGTTATAGGGATGGCAGCATATGGAGCTGTTGTGGAGAGACTGACAAGTACTGCCACTGCACAAAGACAAATCATAAAGCTGCTATAAACACACAGGAAAAGAAAAATTAGTTGAATCATTCTCAGGGCCTGGATTTCAAAAATAAGAAAAACTGCTATTCATTTTTACTCTACAGTCTCCTTTCCAAGAGAAGAAAGGGGAAGCATTACCCATCATCCCAAGGAACAGCTTTAGAGGATACAACCAAACCAAGGGGTAAACAGCATTACTTGAGTGGCCCTGACAATGAGGTCAGAGGGATGAGCTATGATGGCCTCTCACAGTGTTTACATTTTACAACTTCTCCTCACAGTTAAAATCAATACATTACGAATAATGATAGATGACTGTGTCCACTGGAGTGTCTATAGTTGATGTAACACCAAATTCTCTACCACTGTTACAAAGATATCTGTAGTTTTTAGAGGGGATAATTAATTCTCAGATCTCAGGTGTTAATGAATCCACTCTCGGGAATAACCGACTGAAGGGTAATTTCCCCCTATAATCAATACATTTTCAATCAGAAAGGTGACAAGATGAAAGAAGGATATCAACTAGCAGATTTTTTTTATTTAACACCAAATTAAGTAAGATATGTATAGCGTGACAGTATGGAAAATTGATATTTAGATCTTGGGAGTGAAACACACTGACAGCGAAGACTAACAAAAGTGCTACCATGGAGTGAATCAGCCGTCATTATTAACAGTAACACTCTTCCTCCTAATTATTTCCTAGTAAAAGTTCTCCAGTTATCATCCATCAATGTTTCAGGAAGCATGGAGTCCACAAATAGCTTTCCATTAAGGTGATCAACCTCGTGTTGAATCAATCTCGCAGGCCATCCATTAATCCTCCACATGACCGGCCGAGCTTCTCTATCAAGTGCAGAAACTTCGATTTCTTTTGCTCGAGGAACGAGAGCTGAATAGCCTTTAAAGCTAACACAGTTCTCGCGTAATGTTACTGAAGTAGAATCAATTATTTTGTACTTAGGGTTGATAAGAACTGTAGGAGGAATCTTCACAATTCCAAAAGTTTTGATGTCTTGATCGGTTACTTCTGCTTCCTTTAACTCTTTGATTTGCTTAGCGGTTTTCTCGAGAGCAATCACTCGAAGTCTTACTCCAATCTGTGGTGCAGAGATAGAAGAAACGTTAGCTTTTCTCATAACTTTGAACATTCGCTCTATCATCTGCTTGAACTCGGGAGAACGAATAGTTGTGATGTCCACATTCTCTGCTTGTTGTCGAAGGGTAGGATCGCCGATTTGTCGAGCTTGTAGGCTGTCTAGTTTGAGGAATTTTCTGATCGAGTTAGGAACCCATTTTGAAACTTGTCGAGCTTTGATGAGATGTTGAACGTAAAAAGATCCTACCAGAGAAAGTTTTGTGGGAGAAAGAACCATAACTTCGTGATAAATGCATCAATGAAAGTTGCAAGGGCTTTCCTTAAGTCAGCGGTTTTACTTTGTCTTCGTAATGTATGTTATGTATGGGTATATACAATGTACTCCTATGATCTAAGTGGGCCTATAACTCTCTTTTTTTCTCCTCAATTGTTTTCAAATGGAACTAGGGTCTGGGTGGCCTGGTTGGAGTGTGATTTGGGAATAACTTTGAACTTGAGAGTTGCTACTTATCTTGGAAACTCCATGGAAGCCATTTGAGGGGTGGACAACCTTTTGATTGACAGAACCACCAAAACATCTTTTTTCCACCCATTTGCAGAGGAGGGTGTGATCAATGACACATTTTAGTTTGATGAGAAGGACACCAGTTTCTCTCCAGTGAAGTGAACAATAATTCTTTGCAAAAAGGAGGGGGATTTTTCATTTGTTGCAAAAGCACTGAACAATTTCATAACAATAATTCAACAAGGTCTTCTCCCTCAGGAGACCATCTCCAGTTAACTAGTATTGAATCGATTAAATCCACCAGGTTGCTCCTTCTCCTAAGCAGAGGGGGCTTCAAAACATGGGAGAAAGAAAAGCTGGAAAACAGATACTTGAATGATAAATCGTGGACAATGAATGACAGAAAACAAAAACTGTGTTAAGAAATGGCTACATGACAGTGAAACCCCTAATTTGTTTTTAAAATGTATTTAATTGGATATCTCCTAAAACCTTTTTAAAAAAGGGTCGGGGAAGAACTGAAAAATATGTTCAAATGGGGACAGTCTTCCATGTTGCACATATGGGTAATGCACCTTGGATGGTTTTGTTGTTACACCCATGATACATCTGGAGGTGTTGATTGCAGGCACCTTTTGTACCATGTAAACTACTGCCTTCACAAACAGGAATACAAGAGAAAGTACAGTTTCATAATATACAGCTGTTGATGGATGTGCTGAAGCATAATTGATGTTTAAGTTCTCAGAAGTTTTGCCAAGTTGTTCTGTATAAACCTATGAGTTACCATTGAGTTCTGCATAAAGATGAAAACTCTACCCTTCACAGGTGCAGGTTCCTACTCCCATGGGTCTTACACAACCCACAGCCATAAATCAAACAGCTGTAAATGAGCTCTAAAATATGCCCTGGTATGAACTGCAAAACCAGCAAGAGCCCCAACACACATATCCCTCCCTGTTTCTAATGATTTTGCCCCTAGTACTGCAGTGCCCATGAGGGCATGCTAACTGCAACTGTGATATTTTTTTGCTTGTCATTGGAAACTGAGCACAGAGAGAATCACATGGAATAGCTCCCTGCTGATGAGAGAAAACTACAGCACATAACCACTCAACTGCAACACATGAACATGCTTCCTTTAATTCATAGTCTGTGTGACACAATGTCAGAGGAAAACAACTTGGAAGGGGATTGAATCTACTATGTTGTGTATAAGCACAACTCCATCAGGTGATATTCTGCTGAACCCTGGTCTAGTAGGGGGGAGGGCATACTCACATTGCTCTTTACATACTTTTACATACTTATGTCCTGATATCTGTATTATTTCTTGGTGTAATTTCTCCAATCGTTCTTTTGAAACGATTTATAAAGCATGGAGTCTATAAAGAGATTTCCCTTTAAGTGATCAACCTCGTGCTGTATGATTCTCGCTGGCCATCCCATAGTTCTCCACGTGACTGGTCGAGCTTCTGTATCAAGCGCAGAAACTTCGATCTCTTTGGCCCGAGGAACAACCGCTGAATAACCTTCAACACTTAAACACCCCTCACGGAACGCAAGCAGAGTTTGGTCGATTGTTTTGTACTCAGGGTTGATAAAAACTTTCGGTGGGACTAAAGCAATCCCAAGACGTTTTAGTTCTTTGTCCGTTGCTCCTTTGTCTTTTAACATTTTGATGTGTTTTCCAGTAAACTCGACCACGATTACGCGAAGTCCAACTCCAATCTGTGGCGCAGCGATGCCGAAACCTTCTGCCTTTCTCATGACCCTGAACATTCGCTCAATCATTTGTTTGAATTCGGGAGAATGTATAGTTGTGATGTCCACTGTCTCTGCTTCCTCGCGTAATATTGGATCGCCTATTTGTCGCGCTTGCAGGCTGTCAATATTTAGGAGTGTTCTGATCGAGCTAGGAATCCACTTTGAAACTTGGCGAGCTTTGGGAAGAATATATGCACGAGAACCACATAACTTAGGTAATTTTAAGGGAGAGAGGGCCATATTTTGGAGATAAAGTCAACGAACTTTTCCTCTCCTCATTGTCAGCGGTTTCTTCCTGAGCAGGAACACTAATTGGACACAGGTAAGGACGGGGTTGCGGAGTAGTTTCTTTTAGGGCCTGTTAATACTGAACTGAGCCGGTTCCTCAAATTCCCCCACTAAATCTTGTTTAAAACAGTACTTCCTATTTAATTGAGTAAAACTGGTGAAGATGTCTTCAAAATGTCTATAATTGAGGGGTGAAAAATGGTGGCAAGGTAGGTCAAAGGAAACCACTGTACCTCCCTCCCTAGAGGAAGATGATATTTGCAAGCTGCGCCCCTCCCCCACACGGATCTATTGTGATTTGTTGATGCTCCTCGATGGGATCAGAACATGGCGACACATCCTTCGACATTTTACGCGCTAACTGATGTTAAGCTACCTGAGAGAGTTGTCCTCTGGGACGAGACTGAGGTGGCTAAAAAGCAGATAGAACAAGTCGGTGCATCGGCTTGTGGAGCTACAGCAGTTTTAAATGTTCTGGTAAAGTAGTTTAATTGTGCATCTGTAGAGTATGTTTAATATGCGAATACCAGTGTATGTGAGAGCACCTAGTTGCCTTGCATGTAGACCAGACATGCCTCGCTAGTAAAGTCATTTTGTTGGATTTCAAAGTTGGCATTTGCTAAAACTGAGCCTTTGAAAATAATAGTACCCTTTTCACCCTCAATCAAAATAAGGGCACCTGCGTGCATTTATATTGCCTTAACGATGAAACGAAAAAAACGCCTTGTCGCTCTCTTCAGATTATTTTCGGCCAGAAAGGACAATGCCAATCATGGCACTTCAGTTGAAAAATTGTACAAATATATGTTACAATAAATGGCAACAATATGTATCTGTTATTTCTCAATCAAATCGTCTGCCATTTCATAGGAGATCGTGTTTCAGCCGAGTTGCATCGGAGAAGCGATCGAGAGAAAAAAATGGTGCCCTATACTTCAGGTTAACTTTTCAAAATGTAAACTACAAAATCACCTGCTGCACAGGAAATTAGCTGGGCCAAAAAACTGTAAAAATAGGGTAATAACTGAATGATGCCACTCCTAACGCCTTACACCTTGCTTCTAGAAATTGCTTGGAAGATCTGCATCAGTGGATGAGGCAAATAATGCAGTAAAAACCAAGCTAAGAGATCTTGAAGCTCCTTTACCACAATATCTTTCATCTCGTAGTGTTGCAGGAACAACACATATAGATCTCATCAAGGGCCTAGGAAAACTAACCTGTGGAGAAATTGTTGGGCAGTTCTTTCACATGTACCCTGAACGTGACTTTGACTTAGAAAATTGGCTGAAATATTGGCTCATACATGGTGCCATACCTGTAGCAACCTTAAATTGTCAAAAGGTTCCTTTGACTGATGGAACAATACCAGATGCTTGGCATCATCAAGTTATTTGTGGTGTGAGCAGCAATGGGGTTCATCTTACTAATCCAGAGGCAGTGTGCCCCTTTAATGAAATATCTAAACAGCTTTGCAGTGAATCTGTTCTTCTCATTCGCCGGCATGACATCATACGGCGATGGAGTAACAATATTGACTATTCTTCTTGGAACTCTGATGGAATAAATCAAAGGTGGATTGAATTGAAAGTCCAAGAGCAGGTTAATCGCATGGTAAAAGAAGAAACACTTCTTCTACTTCATGGAAGTGAAATTAAACACAGAGAGCTGTTAACAACACACATCACTATTCCTGCTGCATACAAATCAGGGATTACTCTGTTTGCTCTAAGGGATTCTAGGACACATGGACTTTTAGAAAACAGCACTGAACTTCCTATTAAGCTTATCAATCAGAGAAAAGATATTGAAGAACAATACTCTGGAGGGCAGATAAATCTGAGCATCAATGTATAATGTAAGATGGAAACTAAATATTAGGAAAAAAGACAAACACCAATGTGGGGTGTGACTGTAGACTGTTGCTAGAGTGTTAACAAGAAAAAATATATAAACAAAGACATTAATGATAATAAAATAATGACAGAAGTTGTGGACCATAGCACAATTTGAAGCTGTCAATAAATGCTGGTAGTTTTTGTCAATGTACTCATTTATTATCATTATTATTCAGTAAAGGTAATATTTATTACCAAAGCTGTTGATGCAGAAGTTAAAATTTTTAAATAACATGCTCTGTTGAAGTGCAAATTAGAAATCAATTTCAATATTGGTGATTTGATAAAGGCATTTAAAGTTTGTGATTTAAAATGTTGATTTTAAGATAGCAAACTGCTGCTTAAATTAATCAAGTAGCATTAAAATTAATTAACGTTGTATTATAATTTACTACCTCTTTCCTGCATACTAACTTTGGAATGTGGGATGCACATCTTTGCTGCATTAATTTCTTTTTTTTCACAATTTCCTGGGGGAGTATGCCCCACAATGGCACCTTCAATTACTCATGTTATGTTGCTGGCAAATAAACTTGGATATTTACAAATGTATATATACATTTTGTGTTGAAGGTCATGCTAGAAAAAAATATATGTCGACATACAGAGAGATTGAAATAAAGATAGTTGCTTTAGAGTTCTACTTGTCAAAGCTGTGACCCCAATTATGTGTGAGCACAGTCTCCTGTTTGTAAAAGCAAGGGATGAGAGGTTAACACATTCTGGAATTGAGTCACCTTGAGCCCTAAATCAAGGGTAGTTATTATCTAGTGAAACCCGAGCTGTCAGAAATTAGCCCAGTCTCGTCCCTTTTTCGTTTTCTTTCTTGCCCTTTCTCTTCTCGGTAATCATTTCTCAACGACAGAGGGAGCCCTGCTTGGACTGTCAATCGCCCTCGTTACTTTGCTAGAATGAGATTTTGCCAGCGGTATTTCGCTTAGTTGTTTTGTATGTTGTTTAGTTTTCGTCAGAAGGCATTTGGATGAAAAGACAACAGAGATGTTGGAGTGGGTCATTATTGCAACTCTCGCCTGTGTATCGAGTCTTTTTCTCATTGAAATTTTGAATACGAAGAAAACTGAAATTAACGGAGCTCATGCTGTGGTAAGATTTGAAACTGTTTCTGCAAATTTCGACGGAAACTCTGGAAACGAGAATGAACAGATCGCAAAAGTTGAATTTATTGTGGTGAGTGTTTTGTCTTCTGTTTGTTTCAGGTTACTGGTGGGTCAAGTGGTATTGGAAAGGCTTTAGCGATAAAACTGGCCAAATGTGGAGCCAACGTGACAATTATCGCTCGAAATATGGTAAGGTTTATGTATTTTTCGTCTTCGATCATAACTTGCGTTCACGTGGTCAATCCATGCTGATCATCATATGACTAGTGTACTCTCAGTTCGCGTCAGTAACGTGGGGTTTCTCATAAGTATATATTATAGAGAGTGACATCGGAAAATAAATAATTGGTTACGTTCCTATCACGATACCAAATGCTACAGGAAATTTAGCTCAGCCCAGACACTGCACCCCTCCTGAGGACCACACCCCATCCCTCTCAAGAACAACTTTTCATTACAGGCTTAGCTGCATTAGTGACAAAACGATTGAGACACCTATTTTTCTGAATTTTGGGTTAGTTGTACCTCTCACCCTTTAGATTCTACCCCAGTCACCCTAATTCACAAATGATGTGCTGTCTATCTATCACCAAGAGTGTTTTTTCTTTCTTTCTAAACATTGAATAGAGCAAGGGCTAAGGTATATAAGAGGCAGTTGTTGTGAAAAAAAGGATGGAAAGATGATTGTTTTTACAACTGTCTTTTTTTCAAGAAAGTATTTATCCTCTTTTGTTGCTTACTGTAGAGGGGGGTAGGGTGGGTGAAGGGTGTGTATATTATCTCTCTCTAACATGAAAGGGTGAAAACAAATTTATTGACCCTTTAACCCCTAAGGGTGACTAGCATCTAATTTCTCCTTACAATATCACCCCTGAATCCCTTGTTAGGTCAATTAAGAATAAAGAAAATGACCACTAACTAAAGAAGCTCTTGATTGTTAAACAAATTCTCTACCCTGGGAGATGTATGGAGAACAGTATAGAGAATATGCATACTGATGTTAGGGTGGAAAGGGTCAAGGTTACCAACTTGCTATACCCCCTAATACCTCTAAAATGCTAGTTGAGGGTAACTATTTTGGATATCATCCCTTGTTTCAGGCTAAATTATATTCCAGGAGTTATAATGCATGTCAATGATTAATATCCTGGTGGTGCTCCATCAGTTGCAACTGGATGGCAGGAAGAAATTAAGAATTTCCCAGTGGGAGGTGGGGGAGGAAGCCTTGATCTTCCTTGGATCTAAAAGAACTTATGAGGCCCTCAGAGCTACCCAGTTGCTTAGATAAACTACCTATCTTGGCTATATCCTGGCAATTCTGTACTTTCTCCAAAATTAATGTGAATGTTTTATGAAATTGTTTCTCTACTCTAAAATCTTGATTTCTCTGTTACTGATTGATGAGAGTGTAACTATTTATTTTGAATTACTTCCCATTCCAGAGTAGACTAGAGGAAACATTAAAAGAAGTGAAGAAACATCTAGCTCCAGAGAGGAAGGTACAATAATCTTTCCACCTGCTTGAATTAATCTCTAATTTGGAAGACTTGCTTCGTGTGTCAGATGCTAATGAACATATCACTTAAACTTTTTTTAACTGCTTTATTCATGAAAGTCTGTACTCCAATTCAGGTCTTAGCTTTGTCTGTAGATCTTACTACTAATGCAGAAGATGTAGAGAATACTTTAGATCAGGTAGGTGCATCCTCTTTCAGATAAAAGAAAAAAATATAACACTAAAATAAATGACTTTTTTCATAGACTACTTTTCTTTTTTTAAACTACTGGTAGGTTACCTTGACTCTTAGAGACATGGGATACATTTGCATTCTGATATTATTTGTGTCTATTAATAAACACAGAACAGACACTTCCCTTAATCTCTATTTAATATTGAACCAATTCAACAATTGAAAAATTTCTATCAAAAAGATGTTGCTGTTATTACTTCAAAATAATCAACTTTTCAAGCAAATCATCATTATGATGATTTGCTTGAAAAGTTGAAGTGATTCAACTGTGGCTGCCCAATAATCATGTTCATCTTAACCCTTTACCCCCTCATATCAGTATCCATATTCTCCATACTATTCACTATACATTCCCAAGGGTGCTAACAAAGAGAATTTGTTTAATAATCAGGAGCTGCTCTAGTTGGTGATCATTTCCTCTATTCTCATGACCTTAATGTTTGATTCAAGGGTGATATTGTAAGGAGAAATTAGATGCTAGATACTCTTAGGGGTTAAAGGGTGAAATGTGACATTAACATTGCACCAACCCTGATCGAACACTTTGTTTGAAAATTATGACAGACTGGTCAAAATTTCATCTGCAAAATATATTGAATCTTACTAATTTATGTTTATCTTAGTAATATATAACGGGTTACATAGTGTTTTTGAATAATCTGGTTTTAAAGTAACTGCATCAAATATAACAACTCCTCTCCTTCATTGGCACAAAAATCCATTGCAATAATTTTCTAATGCCTGTAATAAGTTGTCAGAAGTATAACTTTTTTTTCTAGACATTGTGTTATGTATATTTTAAATAGTCGTGATCAGAGTGCAAGGTAGACATAATGAATTTTCTTGTTTGTTGGTTTGTTTTTGTTTTGCAGGCATCTGAAGCCTTAGGCCCAATAGACATTCTTATCAACTGCGCTGGCTTTGCAGTCTGTGGCTTGTTTGAAGAAACTTCAATTGAGGATTTTAAGGTTGAATTTGAGACTAAAGTTTATCATCAAATTGTTGTCTGAGATGTGATTTTCAAAAACAGAAGAAAAGCATTGTTTGACAGCTTTTATTACGAAACCATATCTTACTTTCGGACACACCATTATATGCACACAAAAATTTGCACCACCATTGAATGTCTTTATGAAATTCCAAATTGAGATTAATATGGTGCTTGATGGTTTCCCACAACATTTCCTTCTTTCAATTTGAAGACTTAAAGATGTTAAAACCAGCAAAGGTTTGCTGAATTTCAGCATATATCTAGTAGTTTGAAAAAAAGTATATTTATTTTTTCTACTTTTAGTAATGAATACCTTAAATGTACACAAGGTAGTAAAAGTAACCTAACTTTCCCCTTGTATAATTGGTGTCTCAGTTACAGAGGCAGGAACTTTTTATTCTTTTGCACATTTTCTACAAGGGTTATGACAGTTTATTAAAGAAAAAAAAACAAAACTTAAAAATGTGTAAAATTCTGTAAAATCTTACAGGCAATGATAAACACTAACTATTTGGCTAGTGTGTTCACAAGTCATGCTGTCATAAAAAGGATGAAGCAGCGGAGAAAAGGTCACCTTGTGTTTGTATCGTCAATAGGAGGGCAGGTAAGTAGGGTAGGGTTCTAATTGTGAGTTGTGGCAATTTCATGATGGTCAAATACTTCACAGCTCCCTTTTTGTTGAAAGCTGTCTGGTGCAATTGAGACATTTCTAACTAAAGTAACACCATAACTTGATACTAGCCACTGGCTACAATTGTAGACTGAGCTAACTTTATATTAAAATTTAAAAGCTTCTAGTCTAAAATAAATTACTGTCTTTCATTAAGTAATTTTACTCACAGAGATTTGTGTTCACACCTGATCAATGTCTTACTTGGGCTTGACTTCCACCACTCTCTTGTGTCTGGTCTCCTCTTCTCCATGTGGTTTTGGGGGGAAGGAGTGTGGGCTCATGTTCCTGAACAATGGCTGGTAATCGAGCCTATGTCTTACTTTAAAAGGAAGGGAAAATTTGAATCAGGAAATTTGCTTCTTCGTGTGCATGATTATTTGATTTGATTTTGTCTTGGTGTTTTTCAGTTTGGTATATTTGGATTTACAGCTTATTCACCTTCAAAGTTTGCAGTTAGGGGTTTTGCAGAAACATTGTTCATGGAGGTATCTAAATCCTTGGTTCTTTTCACCAAGGCATGCCTCTTGTTAATAACTGTCAATATGAATTAATTATTCTATGATTAATTGCTTATGAAATGGGTATAACTACAGGCATATAACTGTTAGAGGTAAATGCATTTGCCTCCGGGTCATGGAACTCTGGATCATACAAGGGTTGAGTTCCAGACTCTACTATAGTTTTACTGTGATCATGAGCAAGACAGTGTACTCTCACAGGGATAATTTTTCTTTCCTAGAGTATACTAGATGAGTAATGGCAGTTAAACTTGATGAAATACCATTACTTATTTATACATTACTCTAAGTCTCTGAGCTAGTGCTGCTGAAGCAACAGAGCTGAAAAATTTCCTGCAGCGCTTATAGGTCATGTTGGCTTAGTATGTAAAACATGTTTGAGCTGATGTGTGGGAGTTTATTGAAGATTTTGTGTAAATCTTCTGATTTTAGCAATCTGTTTTCCTTTGTGCTGGTTTGATGATGCCCTCAGCTTATGACTCAAAAAAGTTACTTCCTCTCTGTTATTTTTTGCTTTTTTTTTTTGTTTTTTTTTCCCAAGCTAAAGGGCAGAACATAGATTTTGTACTTGCAGCAGATTGGCACTAGGTAAATCTTGGAGAAATTTAACCTCCCTTCAAACTCTTATACATTTTGGTAGGTGAAGCCTTATGATATTGCTGTCTCTGTGGCTTTTCCACCAGACACAGACACACCAGGATTTGAAAATGAGAATAAAAACAAGGTAAAAAAGCAGAAACTGACCAAAGAGTGTTGAATCAGCATACTTGGGTGCTATAGCCAATATGTCTGAGAGCTTAACTGAATATTTTTGAATATGTTTTCTGTCAATTTTATCATTGATTGAAATGAATTTTTTTTTTCATATTAAGGAAACTAAAGGCTATGAATAACTTAACAACATAACCTTCCTATTGCATTTCAGCCTGAAGAAACCCATCTAATAAGTAGCTCAGGAGGTCTTTTTACTCCAGAACAAGTTGCAAGTAACATAGTTGTAGGGATCAAGGTATATAAACATGTTACATAATTGTGGAGGGTAATTCGCTACAGGTCGTTTCCTTTAAAGACCAGACATCTGGGGAATGGAGGATTTTGGGGGGGGATCACAGGGTTGTCAGGGGCACCGGAAGGGGGATCAGTCGTCGTCGACAGAGTATAAAGGGAGGGGACGGTGGACAATTGAATGTCAATGAGGGGGATCATACGAATATTACAGAGCTTTAGAATGTAACTTTTATTGTGACTCAATCAAAATACTCCGAACCCCTCAGGCGATGAGTAATGATCGTTTCCTTGCTGTTTAGTGAGTTGCAAGACGGTACCACCTTAGCTATATCGTCTTGAATTCTTGCTTATTTATTTTCCCTCTAATACAATCGTAATTGCATTCAAGGTCATTAATTATCCCGTGGGACGGTTAACTTAGTCTTTGCCGCTCTGAAGAGCGGGGTCGCCTAACGCTTTATTGTTAGTATTCTTGCTGTTCTTTGGTCCACTATTAATTCTCGGTGCTTTAAGACGAAAATGGTTAAAATTGCCAAAAACCTGGGGTAGGCGATAAATTATTCCATGGAATTGCTTTAAAGTCTGTCAAGATGTTTTGTCGGTTTATTGTCACATCGAGTGGCAAATCTCAAACAGGTTGTGATATTCATTTTTTGTTGTCATTCAGGACAGACGATTCATGATATCATGTGGCTTTGATGGATACGTAGTGAGCACGTTGACAGCAGGTTTGGCTCCGATCTCATCGTTAATGGAGCTACTAACACAAGTACGTTGCTTCTCTACAAAGGTGATAGGTGACGTCGCCCCATTGCACGGTCGCCCCTAGTTCCGTAGCCCTCATGGAAAGCTCCGATGTCTCGAAATACGGTTGGGTCGACCCAAACTTGAAGCTGTGTCGCCCCCAACTACTGGCCTCAGTTTATTTAAAGGTTTAATGGTTCTTTTAACGACGGCCCTAGTATCAAAACCTTCAACCAACCATCTCAATGTTGCGACGGAACTTCACTTGAGGGCGACGGAACTGGAAGCGACCGTTCAAGGAGGCGATATGTCATCTGCATCCTTTAAAACACCTCTTATAAATAATTACGTTCAGGATGATCAACTCCTTTGGGATATTAGAGTAGGAAAAGAAAATGTATGTTTGTAACTAAAAGCCGTTTTATAACATGGTTAGTCAATTGGTGTAATCTCATTCAACAGCGCGAGCGTACTTCATATTCTCGATGCGCACGATACTGAGCGCTGGGATTTGATTAAGTATGTTGATTTTGATCTTCTTTCTCCTCGCAGGTTATTCTGATGGGACCACTCAGATTTGTGCTGGCATTCTATCTGTATTATTATGATCGTATTGTGTTTAAAGGGATGCAAAAGAGAGAACAAAGCAAAAAGACAGAGTAGAGGCGAGACCTTACCCTGTCACTGGTCAAAGTAAATGCATATTTGAAATACCGGCCGATAGCAGCATACCAGCTCAAGTGAGTGGAGGCGTTTTCCAGGGTCGGCTGAAGACGCCATGGAACGAGAACTAATAAAAAAACAAAATATTTACAAGACCGAAATCGTTATAATTGATCGAGTGCAAGATTGCAAATTTTATTTAAAAGTTCCGATTCGCACCAATAAAGGTACAGGAATTTTAATTGCTTCCTCGGGGCTTTGTTTCTACTGTGTATGACACATCCAAAGTTTCTTCTACTATGTACGTTTAAGCGATGAACACGTTGATATTCGAACTTAGACCATTTATTTATGGTAGACTCTCATTGCGTCGTAAAAGGTTAAGCCAGAGGTTCTCTCTGTTGAGTACGATAACGTAGTACTATCTATGTGCACTGTTTTTTATTATACATGCATCGGCCAGTGTAGTTACATATTTTGTATACTTATATGTATTCATTCATTTCCTTATGGTTTATTCTTGAACTGTCTAATTTATTTGTATATATATTTGATTATTTATTTATTTATTAACGTATTACAGGAAGATATGTTTTTTTTTCTTTTTCTCCTTTTGGCAACACAATAAGCGAACATCGCAAGCAGACACATTACACCAACGACAAACAAAAGCCTTTCCACTTCAGCACACTGCATGTAGAGCAATCCTAGTCTCCAGCAATTATGTCTGAGAATGATATTCTTAGATGCTGCATACTCGAGCTGAGTCAGACAAAATGAGCTGCTCATTTTATCTGAATTGCGTCGTTTTTCCCGCACGGCCGAGTTTATCTTAATATTTTCAGCTCCTGGATCTTCAAAGATGTAGATCGTGGTGCTAATAAGCATAATTTTAGCATATAAATGCTTTTTATTTCGTAGCTTCGCAATGGGAAAGGAAGCCAACCTAGATTTTTAGGGAAAAGGTGGTAAGGGAGTAAGAATGTTAGTCGTTGGGTAGGGTCATAAAACATTACAATGATGCGAAATCGAACGGTAATCGTGGATAAACATACTAGTATTGACAATAAATTTAACCTCTTCCCTAAGGGTTAAAATTTTTCATATTCTGCGGTGTCGTCTGCTAGACGTGACCCTCAACCTGAATTCCAGAAATACGTTGATTCTTCCCTCCGTCATTGCATTTTTAACTGTTATCTACAGGTATGTTAAATGCTTTAGCGCAGATAAAGAAAAGACAATTAATTGCGGAGGAGGATGTGGGTCATGCTTGGAGTAATAGACCTTCTTGTATTGGTTATGCTATAACTTAACGTTAAATACTTGTTTTGCAGTTGGACGTTTAATAATATCGATGATAGATAGCAGGTAAGTTAGTGTTAACAACTGGATTGAAAACGTAAATTAGCCACCGTAAAGGGTAAAAAAGCTGACGTTTCGAGCGTTAGCCCTTCGTCAGAGCGATTAGAATAATCGCTAATCTACTCTAAATTACCTGCTATACTCTCCCACCGACGCAGCACCACAGTTTCTTTAGAAGCTTACCCCTTTATTCGATGATAAATACTCCGTAGAGTGTGAAAATTTTGCTCATTAAAGACTCACACTTTGCCATAGCAGTAACAATTCAGCCCCTACCCTTAAACTCCCGAAAATGATTAACATGTAACTTCTCTCTACAATATCCATACATTATCCAGCAAGCAGGTAATGAGAATACTCTAACTTATCAGGTAGAATTTGTTGTCTTGATTTCACTCTAAATTCTCTTAACTTATTTACAAGGAAATGCGCAGCAGCTAGAGGGGGAATTAACGATCAGATCGTGCGAGTCAAAGAGTTAACACAACTTTTTTTTGTTAGATACTTGCGTTTTATAGGAGACAACTGAATTTTTCAATCGTGGGTGGTTTTGTGGATGTTTTTCCGTATTTTTGGATTTTGAAACATGAATACTGTCCTAACGTGTATGATGCCAGGGCAATGAACTAATTGTTTATTATTTGGAGATAATCTTTTTGTTTTGTTATTTTTCAACTGCATTTTCCCCGCGCAGCTATATAATGTTTTCTAATAAAACTTAATACGTGAGAGTATTCAGGAAACCGTCAGTCCTTTGATAATTTTCGTCGATCTCAGTTGATGAATTATGTAAAACATAATTTGAGCTATATCTTCAACGAGTTCAGGCGTTATTTTCAAATACGAAGAGTTTCGAGAAAGAAGTAAATGTGCCTCGAATGATCAATGTTTCCTTCTTCTTAAAGAAATTGCTTCCAGTATTACCATTATGAGCTAAAAATAACCCTTACTTAGTAAACGCGACCCCACCCCCGCGGGCATGACCTTGTGTATGCGCAGTAATTGTGCGCAGTTACGTTGGTTTGATTCAATTTGTGGAATGCAGGTTATTTTGCGCCACCAGTGGAACAGTTTGAAGCATAATTCCTCATGTCCAAGCTACTCAAAGGATCTAAGAAAGTACCTACACAATTAGACCTAAGTATCATCGAAGTAAAATCGAAGGTAAACAGTCGCTTGCGAGGAATCTTTCATCATAAACCGAATCGTGCATAGTAAAGCATAGGAACTGTCATTCCGAGTCGATAAGAAATCTCTATCTTCTCTCCGCAGTTTGATGCAGAATTTCGCAGGTTTCCCTTAGATAAAACGCGACTGACGTCGTATGAAGATTTCTACAAGCATGTACAGGCGATTCACAAGTTACAATCCATTCCGTTCTCAACATGGTACACGGACATGTATGGAGACCTACTCCCAATTAACAACGATGATAACTTTTTACGGGCTGTGACAACGGCTAGGCCGCTTTTGCGGGTTTTCGTCCAACGCAAAGGTACGAAAAATATGACTTAAATTAGCTTCTAGTCGAGTTCAGTCGTATTGGGTGATTTAAGTTTCTCAATTCTGGCCTAAAACGATTCATTTCAATGTTGACTAGTTCCTAAAATCATCGGTTTACAGTTCAACTTTTATCGGCTTAGCTTGAAATTCTTATCGTTCTTTTAAAATTCAGTGAGCGGTTAAACTCAGTTTTAATTTTTTTGTCTTAAAGGACTTGCTCTTTTGCAGACCAGACATGTCTTAGATAAATTAAACCCATTTGGGAATTTACCAAGTTAAATTCAATTAAGACAAAGTCTGATGTTGTAGTTTGTTTACTCAAAGGACTATTGAACCATACTTTCATTAGCTGTTTTTGCTTTCGTCTTTACATTGAAATCATGTATTTTTGTCTAGATACTCTTCATGTGACAGGGAAGTTTTCACTAAAATTTCCATATTTTTGCCTTTCATGTTTTTTTGCTGTGAATTAGTCAAACTTTCATCAACCAAAAAAATGTTCCCATGTGTTACTCAACCCTAAATTTGATAACAAGAGCTTCCTTTGTACCATAATTGTGGAGATTAATGGGAATTACTTATACATATTGTTTAATATGCTGTTCTTTGAGACATCTCACATTTGTGACATGCACCCTTATTAGGATAGTAGTGAAAAGCAACTCCTTTGCAAACACTTCAGTAGAAGTCACCCTTAGTTTCTGATTGCGAAACCAATAAGGTTTCTATTTTCAGATTCTAAGCTTTCAGACGGAAATTTATTGTGGGTATATAGATTATTTACATTTGTCTCAAACATGTTTTGAGAACATATAAATTTACTCATCTCCTTCATGATGAGAGTGTTCATAGTTGGTCTATCTATACTTATCTTCAGGCAGTGAATCTGTTCACTACTGGATTTTGATTGTAGCATTTGAAAATTCCAAGTGATTAATAAGTGCCATTTTCAAGAAGTATTTGTGTTGTCTCAGGAATCCATTAATGCTTTTTCTTGTATAAATTTCATGCCATGGGACAAGTTTAAAAGAGCTGTGTGTCTTTTCGGGTGTTGAAAGATTTTTAATCACAAATTGATATAATTCCACTATGGGCAGCTTCTGGTAGTTAAATATTTTGTCTGGCAATTAACCAACTTTTGCTGTGAGCATCTGACAAAGGGCTAATGCTTGAAACATCAGCTTTTAAACCCTTTATGCAGGGCATGAAATTCATTTTTTTTTTTCTGATAGCCACTTGGCTTCTAAATTCTTCAAAGTAGTAGCCAATTCAAAGAAAGTTGGTCGCTATTTTTAAAGACAGACAAAACCTTTCTTATGCTATCAGCATACTAGATAGACCCTCCAAAATTAAGTTAAGGAAAAGGTCTTTAACGTGCTACAAAGTGGACACTAGGATGGATGATATACAACATTCAAGCTCATCTTAATCCAAGATGGCTTCTAGTTATCGATTGAGATGCATGTGCTGTGTTTTGGAAACAAACTTAACGAGGAAGTTTCCGCGGATTTATCTTTGCAAATCTTTTTAATTCACTATATCTCCTGGTAAGGTTATGATGAAACATTCTAGTAGCCAATTTGGCGACTAATTTTCAGGATTTGGTCACCAAAGTGAAAAATTTAGTCACATTGGCGCCTGTATTAGGCACAATTTCACGCCCTGTTATGGTGGCCAATTTATGTTATCAATTCAGTTGATAATAGTTAATTACTCTGTTATACTATCACACTGATCCATTGCCACAGTGTCTTTAAAAACTTACCCCTTTAGAATGTACAGAAATAAAGCTGTTTTATGAACGTGTATTATTACTTAATATTCCTGGATGTACTGTTCCGTGACATTCTCCTGGAATGAATGCTAGTACACAAATGCATGATACCAATGTATCTGTTTCTAATCTTCATTCTTATGTGCCTTGAAACTAAAGGAAATGGTATTTTACGTCAAGTCAAATGCATGTAGCTTTGGGAAGACAGGAAATTTTACACTTGGCCTTTAAATAGAGAAGGATATGAAGTATTTGTGATGAGTAATTTAGTATAGGGGAAACATAATTGGGTCTGCTGTGAGCATTGAATCATACCTCAGCCAGTTCTGATTTTGGAGTTCTAGTTTCCCTATTGGATGTTCTGAGACATTACAGTGGAAACTGGTTGCTGCTTGGGTCTTAAGTTTTAAATGAATAGTAAACACTTTCCTATCCTTACAAATATAAGGTAATGTTTTTTTTTCAGGAGGTGACGTCCCTGAAGAGAATGCCGTACCCCCTGAAGTACCAAGGCGTCGGAACTTGTTATCAAATCTTACAAACCCAGCCAAATCCCATCTCAGTAGGATATCAATCAGTGGCCCTCAGGATTTCCGGCGAGTTTCTGCAATTGTTGACGTGGACATTATCCCTGAAACCCAGCGCAGGGTTAAATTATTGAAGCACAACACAGATAAACCACTAGGGTTTTACATACGAGATGGAACCAGTGTTCGTGTAACGCCTAGTGGACTAGAACAGGTTCCAGGAATTTTTATTTCAAGGCTTGTCCCTGGTGGGCTTGCAGAAAGCACTGGTTTGTTGGCTGTAAATGATGAGGTTCTTGAAGTTAATGGTATTGAAGTGGCAGGGAAAACTTTGGATCAGGTAACAGACATGATGATCGCAAATAGCCACAACCTTATTATAACTGTGAAACCTTCAAATCAGTTTAACAATCCAGTGCTTGGAAGACTGAATCGGGCTGAGCCAGATCGCATGAAATCACAGAGCCTTACAAATTTAGCAACACATTCTATTCATAATCCAGTACTTACTACAGGATCACCAACAATGCATCACGCTTACCACAATGAATTGGCAGAAGAAATCCCAGACAGTGATGAAGAAGATCACCCAACAGTTGATGAAGATGGCATTGTGTCTATATAATCATGTATCATTCCAAACTCATTATGGTGACAAATCAATGTAGAAATATTGTTACATGAATATACGTGAATGTATAGTTTAAACTCAAGAGCAATTTTCTAGGTGAGAGGAATTTCTATGTTTTAAATTTAGATATCAAAATCCTTTTTCTTGATACAAAATGAAATGAACCACTTGTCATAAATCAAACTTTGATTTAAAAAATTATCAATAGTTTACTCATTTGATCAATACTTACAACAATTTTTTGCTAACTTTTTGACTAGTATCCTTTGAGTTTTTAATAAAAGTACTCAGAGTCTTTCCACCCATCTTATGTTGTAATTTATAGACTGCATTTTTAAGTGTTGTTAAACCAGTGCCAGAGTAATCAAAACAACCAGTCTGGGTGAAGGAAAATATTGCAAGGTGATAATGATAACACCAAATAGAAACAAGCAAACTGCTCTATGTAGGGGAAAGTGAGAAACAGTCAGTTGCAATTAATTTTAATTTTTGAATCTGATTTGTTAAGAGGATGGCAGAAGTGAAATGAGACCAAAGCATTCCTTGGTCATTTATGTTAAAATTAAAAGTTGCTCTATACATTAATATTATGTTTTTGCATTTCTAAAACATGCCTTTTTTAACACTTTAGCTCCCAAAATCTTATTATTAACCTTCCCAACTATATGCTTTACATTTCCTTTTAAATGACTCGAGTCAAGAGAATTTGGTGCTATATCAAGGTAACATGCAGAAGCTGATAAATCTCTGTTCTCATCTCCTATTTATAAGATTATATATTGATATTGAGGGGAGAATCTACACATTAATCAATCTTGGCAGGGGGGAGCTAAGCTGTTAAGAGAAGGCAATTGCAACCACTTTACATAGGAATACATTTTAGTCAGCATTGGGGTGTTAGATATGTTCAGAAGGCAGTTTGAAAAAGTGGACAATTTAGGTAAGCACCATTGCACATTTAGGTACAATGTCTTCAATGTAATATATAATGTTTGCCAGTGGTATGTTTCTTAGTTGATGTACTTTGATCTGGAACTGTACGTGATATCTATTTCATGACCAACTTTTTGCACTAGTTCTCAATATTTTTGTATCGTTGTTTGATTACCTTTTGGACACTAGATCTTTAATTGTTTGGACATAGTATCTTATTGATATCATAAGTTTGGAGGTACTGTTGGTCAATTTTGCTGGAAGAGTGGGTGGCATAAGGTATGAAGTCATTCACTCATTTTACATTGGTTTTTTTTTTCTTTTACAATGGTATTTTGTCTAAATGGCTTAGGTAGCAGGTATAATGCTACACAAGAAGTGACATAGTTTGCCAGCTTCCAGCTTTTAGGCCAGAAAAACACTGGGTAACCCAGCTCACTCCAACAAAGTGCAGGTCATTTTATATCAGAGTGAAGTGATCAGTTGAGGAAAAACAAAAAGTTAAATAGATAGTGTCTCCAAATAATTTGGGATTGAGGGTATGGAATTATTATATGTGGTTAAAACATTTTTCCAAACTGATCGCATTTAGAACATACTGACATTAGTTTTGCTATTTGAAAATAAAGATCTAAAATGGGCTTACAGTAAAGTCTATCATTCTTGTTGATGTTATGTCTACTTGTAATTTAGAAACAACACAACTTACCCCAAGAGTACTGCTGTTCCCTCTGCCTACCCTAGGATCTTGTAGGCTCTTTTATGCAGCATGCAAGCAAACCAGCATACCAAATTTGCTATCCAGTGATGGTAAGAATTTCCTTCAGGTCAACAAACTCGAACAATTAGTCATCTCAGTAGTTACCTTGTCTCTACCCTTTGATTTCCATTGTTACATCAAATTGATTGAAAAAAAAATGACTGACATCTCATATTGATGGATGTGTAACTAAGTACTGTAATTAATAATAAATGAAACACTTATTTTGCAAGGATGAAAAATAACATTTTATTATTACTATTTTATAAAAATAATAGTGATCTTACAAGGATGCATTTTTAGTTTGTTAGTGGCATAACATTTTCATTGATGGATTCAATGTTAGAATTTTCTGTTAACCCTTTAACTCCCAGATCAAATTTGTTGTTCTTACCATCAACCATACAATTCTTATAATGTTAGTTCAGAGAATTTAGTATTGAATCAACTAATTATCTCCAAATTGATATTTTGTTTATTCTCATTAATTATCTGGTTAATATTGTATTGATATTGTAAGGAGAAATTATGTCTTGGTCACTCGTGGGAGTTAAAGGGTTAATGAATCAATTACAAATTCATCAGTAGATCCCCCTAGATGCTTGATGTGCATCAATGTGTAGCAGTTGGTTTCAATTTATGTTCAGCTGCTGAGACTGTGAAGATCTAAGGTTCCTGTTTTGCTTAACCAACGTTCAAAAGTCAGACTGTATTGGCGCCCTGGTTCCTCTCGTACTAGATCATCTCTTCTTTTTTCAATGCCTGGTAGCTCTTGCTTTTGTTGTGATTTTGAGTTTTTCCAGTCCTCAAAGCTTTTGCCTGCCATCCTTGATTGTCTTTTGCTTTCTAATTCCATCTCTTTCCTTTGTCGTGCCTCTTTTTCCTTCTTTTGTTGTTGCTGTTTCTTGGACTTTTTGTCCTCTAGCCACTCATCAAATGTCGCAGACTTGGAACTGTCTCGTGATTTACTAAAGTAAAGAATGGAAAAAATTCCGAGTTCAGTGTGGCAAGAATGCACTCATTTTCAGCCAATCAGAAGCGCACCATTTTTCAATTTCCATTATCGATGCTGAAATCAATGTGCTCACTTGTTTTACAGTATACATTTATTTGTGGTAAATACAAATAAACAAAAACAGTAAAGGTGAACACTTAACTGACAAGAATCCCTACATTTTAGCACAGAGCTGTCAGAACCTCCATTTAGGAGAAAATTAGAGGACTGTGAGAAGTGTCCCCTGGACCCCTTGAAAAAAATTATAGGAGCAGTCTGTTTTCCAAGTAGGAGGACAAAAGTTTGCATCTCATGAAGAGAGGAAAATATAATAGAACGCAGCTTAACACTACCTTTCAACCTTGACCAAAGGCTGAGATACATCAACAGTAAGATACAATAGGTTTTAAATGTTACAACAAACCTGCTTGCAAGTCTCTCCTTGGACCTTATGTGTGGAAGCACTGGCTTCCCTCCCAAGCTGAATCTTGCACCTGAAGGGCATACCAATTGGAACAATTTCAGTGTATGATAAATAATTTTTTTGTCCTGACAAAGTCATTTAAAACAATCATTTTTGTAATCCCTAATTACATAAACAGAGAAACTGATTCCATGGAACAGGTCTGTGTAGCTAATTCTCTACAGAATTTTATACACTTAGCTTGTAAAACCGACCCTCTTCATAGGAGGAACTTCTGGGGTAGTGTCCAAAAGATTTATAAAAAAACACCTTCCCGCAATGCTATGTTATCAACAGTATTGTTACCCTTCCTTGAAGTGATGGACAGCCTATCTAAGCAATCTTACCATCGATTCCCATCCCTCCTTCAATCGGAGGCAACTGGTGTTCGAGAAGATCAGAGGAAGATTGTTCAAAGAAGGAATCTCGTAGTTGGTTAGCTTCTCCCACTGGTCTTCTCCTTGGAGCACTGATCCCGGTCCCGGCAAACTCTCCTGGAGGCAGAGTTTGACAAAAGTACACTTGTGAATATTTCCCTTTCAACCACGTTGGAAAAGAGGAGTCGAATTGTTGATGCATCATAAGAGATTTACTCGCTCTCCTATGCTTGGTTTTGGCCGCTCTTGTCTGCCATTGAAATAAAAATAAATGTCTCTCGCTATCCTTGAAGCCCCACTGGCTCGCTATCATCAGGGCAGATTTGCCTTGAACATCAATTTCGTCCATAGATGCTCCTTTTTCGAGCATCAGATCGATCGTGTTCGAATGTCCTTGAGAGGATGCAGCATGCAGCGGCGTGCGTCCAAACGGTGTCTTCATATTTACATCAGCTTCTCCATTATCTATCAAACTTTTTATCAAGTTAATTCTGCCACGATGGGCAGCAATAAAAAGTGCAACTGAAGCTCTATCCTTGGCAAGAGCAACCTTGTTTCTGTAAGTCAGGGGATCTAAAGATTCCCACCCCTTCTGGACCACAACTCCTTCGTTTAGAACTTGATCTATTGAACCTCTACACACGGCAGCAACCAGTGTATCCCACATTCTCCATAGTTTCAAATTAATCGTGGCTCCTGCTACGACATCGTTGTGTCTTAAATCTGAATCATCTAGCATATCTCCTTCATCAAGATACTGTAAACGTTGCAAGTTGTAAGGTATTCCCACAACAAGTTCTGCGTAACATTTTAGTTCCCGAATCTTCATCTCGGCGTGAACATTTTTTAGCAAGAACTTCTCTCCCGTACAAGCAATGTAAATATAGATGTCAAAAGGAGCTGTCTTCAATCCCTTCTTCTTCCTTTTGACCGCAGCCATACTTTCTACCGTAAAGAAACTTTCAAAATTATAATTTGAAAAATTAATAACTCCTCGGTCGACTTTTCTCAGCCATGTTTGGCTTTTAGAGTTGGCTTTGCTTGTTACCTCAGCAACCAGCTGTCAATTTTAATTTGAGTCGGTCGTGTTTTGGTCATGTCACGCCAACTCCTTATCAAACTTTATCTTCTTTCTTTCTTTGCTCTATGTCACGCCAACCTCTAATCTTCCCTGGCATCATAACATGGGGTTTTACCAGTTTTTATGTAACCCTCACCAAAGAAAATTTAACATGGTGTTTCAAAAATGTTTATGATACGTTTCCGACTTTCGACGAAGCTGTTCGTCGGAGACATCAAATAAAACGATGAAAAATAAATACAAAATGACCATACGGCAGGTGTTCCGTCGCCGCCGAAAGTCGCTGAAGCGGATCGTGACAATTTCGGAATTCGTAAAATTTCGAACATGACGGCACCTACGTTTGCGTCACGAGCGTTATATGCACGATTTCTCACACGATTGCTAAGCTTTTTTCACCAACCACCATCAGTTTATTAGTTACTTCACCCACGTCACAGACAAAAGGCCAAGGAAATGTCATTGTATTTGTATTTAGTAGAGACTGGCTTGTAACAGTGTCACCGCTGAAATATCAGCAAACCTTACTCTTGATTGTGCCATATCCATTCGAAACCTGGGTAGTCGGTTGACACATAAACATACACACACAGGAGAGAGGCAGCTTGCAATGAAGTGTCGCGGATACTTCTTGTTTACATCGCTTGTGACTGTTCTATCGTTTGGCCACATATTAAGTTTGTTGGCGACGCC